GGCCATGTGCGTCTGCCTGTATTGTCTTCTCACTATAGGTGCGAACCATGGCGTCTCTCCACCACACACACCTCGTGCGCCTGCTGGGCTTCTGCCTGGACCAGAACGTGGAGACGGGCAAGCAGGAGCAGATTCTGGTGTACGAGTTTATAGGCAACCGGGACCTAGAGTACCATATCCATGCAACCAAGCGTGAGTTGCACAGCCACAATGACGAAATGGATGCCATGCGATTTTTTCTTTTTCTCTTTCTGTTTTGCACAAGACATGACACCATCACTAAAGAAGCCATCATTCATAACTTATTTTTCATTTTTCACTCGCTTCTTGGTGTACATATTTCATGACCTAGGTCCGCTGTCGCTGCGCCAGAGGTTGCGCCTAGCACAGGGAGCAGCAGATGGCCTGGCGTACCTGCATGGGTTTGACACACCCATCGTTCATCGCGACATCAAGCCAGCCAACATCCTTGTGTCTGCCGACATGCAAGCCAAGGTGGCTGACTTTGGGCTGCTCAAACGCCTCACTCACGGCGATGCTGATGCCACGCGAGTGGCCGGCACTCCGGGATATGTGGATCCGGATTACAACCGCACCAACGTCATCACAGCCAAGAGTGACGTGTTCAGGTGAGCATGTGTGCTCGTTCATTTGCACAACGCCATGAACTTGTGCACCTGTGGTTATGAATCATCCAGGGTATGTTGGAAACTTGTACCCGGTACCTCTCCCCATTGTTTTCCAAGTTCATTTCACTACTTCCAATGCATGGTTGCTTGCAGCTTTGGAATCGTGCTTCTTGAGTTGCTGAGTGGAAAGCCGCCACGAGTCGACGCAAAAACGCATATAAGCAAATGGGTATGATAACAAACTGTTGAGTCTGCTAAGAAACAAATCAATGGTTATGAGACAATGTTCATGCCCATTTACTCTCAAGTTTATTCTATGCTCGTACAGTTATCCTTGATTCCTTTTATACTGACCTTCACTCCCTTTCTTGTTGCTATGCTCCCTTCCACCACCTTTCCTGCTTACTGGGAATATACGCTCAAACCCTAAAGCGTATAGCGTATATACGCTGGTATTGTGTACGCAAAACGCAATACGCTAGCTAGTACGCTATACGCTATCGGAAAGTTTTTCGGGCTGCCCAGGAAAAAAATCGCTTGTATACGGAATGATGCGGATTTTTCTGCTGAGCATTTCGCCGAAGTCGAAATGCAATTCGACGGTCTAGGGAAGCGGGAATGTACCTTCGGAGTTTGCAGGCAGTTCAAATTTGAACATTAGGTTAGTACTGCATTGAAACCCATCTTATCTACGAACTCCAACCTGTCAAAAACGTCCCCCACCAAACCCCACTCACGCTACTTACCAGCCAGCAAAATTCCAGTCGTCATTTCTAGCTGACATTTCCGCTTCCTAACAGCAGAGCTCCTTCCGATTCCTACCGACTTCTTCTTCTAATGTCTCCTCCACATCCCACCCCAACCGCCGTTCAGACTTAGGGAATTGCTACGAAAGTCTTAGTGAGAGGGAACACCTTCCCAGTGTTGAGCACGACGTTTTTTTTTCACCCTGCTCGGGATAGTTTTTTACCTGCCCGAAAAAGCGTATTACCAACTCGACCCTTAAGCATTTAGCGTATATACGTTACCGTACATACGATACGCATATATACACTATACGCGTATATTCCCACTAAGCTTTCCTGCATATTTTGTTCCTTTGCACCTGTTCTCCCATTCTTATGCTTCCTTGTGTTGCACCCTCCAGGCAATGAAGAGGGTGGAGGCGTATGATCTGGAGGAGCTGAGGGACAGCAAGATGCCAGCGGTTAGTGAGGAGGCAATAGTCGACTTTGCAGACCTGGCTTTGGACTGCATCAAGTCTCCTGGCACACGGCGACCCACCATGAAGGATGTGGCATGCCGCCTCAGCGCCCTCATTGCCAAGCACTGTCCCGACAGGGAGGACGAGTGGGAGAGTGTTGCGAAGGAAGAGAGTGAAGGCAACGAGGGTATATCTTCAAGGGATGTTTCTGCTGCGTCGTTTGAGAGCAGTGGGAGGGAGGCTGAAAGGTCTCATGGCTCACATTCTAATGTGAGCTCGTTCATGCGTGTTGGCTCGATAGGTGATGGCCTATGGAGTTGGCTACAATTAAAGTCAACCAAAGGGCATTAAATATGGACATTATGGCGGTACACGTGCGTATTAAACATGAAATTCCGTAACTCTCCAAATATACCACCCTGTAGTCTTAACATTAGTGATTAATTATGGGTGTGTCTTCTCAACGTGAACAAAATTATTAAAGACCCAGGTAACGGGCTGCTTCACATGACTGTCTAGTTATATCGAATGAAGTTATGTCTGGTGTTTTTTACAAGCATGTTGAACATGCCGTTATCACCTGGTAATCTATTCATGACTTATGTGATACTGATTTGAAGAGATTGCTTTCGTTATCCTGTAATTTCTCATGTGTAATTTTGTAGTTCGAAGAGATTGATCCTTTAAGCATAATCCTTTATCTAACTGATATCTTGTATTACAAGGCTGCACTTGGAATTTCCACACTTGAAAACTATTCCATAACGAATGATGCACTTCTGCTGAACCGGAACAAGGGCGTGGAGCCGGTTGCTGATTTGCGGCTTCAGCAAAATCAGGTTACGCATGAGAGGATCTGTTTTCGAAGCTTTAACTTTTTGCAATCATCGCCAACAGCCCAGTCGCACCGATTCTTTTGCGACTCATGAATTTGCGACTGGCATCCTTGTGTCCTTGCGGGGATGCGCAGGCCAGTTGATTGGGCCTTCAGGTGGGAAGGAAGCACAACCCAGTGGCGGTTTTGTGCTAGTGTTCCGAGACCCGGTTGCAGCATCGTGGTAATCATGGTGACCAGTGACGTGAACCTGTAAAAATGTTCACGAAATGAACGGAAACCTTACGAAGGGTACCATGCTGATTTCCACGACCAGTTCCACGCCCTAACGCTTGGCACCGCCCTTGCCGTGTGCCAGCCAAGCCAAGTGAAATCTACGATGCTGCCACTGCGACCCTCACAGTCGATCAAGGACTGCGCGTTCCAGTCTGGCTGGTGGGCACTCCCCGTTCCTTGCGCTAATTGCTGGTACAGTTTTGGCAGAGGGTGATGGGCCGGAGGAAAGGGAGGGAGGGACTGCCTGTCAATCCAACGCTGACGTGCGATGGTCTTGTGTCCACCACGAGAAATTTGTGGGGGCACCAGGCCCCCCACCCACCCCATGCACAAGGTGGAAATATTTCAGCTGGAAAATCTAGGTACAGTTCACACGCCTTCCGAGGATCCGATCCGGGGCGGTTTGAATTTTTTCAAACAACTCAGGCCAGGAAAACCTGCCGTTGAGGGAGGGGGAACATTCACCGAGTTGATGAAAAAGGCGCCTGTAACTTGGAAACAGCTGCACCCATGCACCCCCTGAAAATTGCCCCAGAAGTTCAATTGAGCTCTCTTGCATCAGCACCAGGCCTCAGGATTTCAGGACATTTTACCCTGATTAGCCTGTTTTTTAGGGTAGTGTTTAAAACCCACCCTGTAAATACAGGTTTCAATGGTTTTACCACCCTGTCACGATCAGGCCTCGTAAATTTTGAGCGTTGTTTTGCAGTTGTTCGTTCTTGTAGCACACTGCCTTGGCCGAGTTCGGTAGTGGCAGCACTCTTGTCCCTCAGTCATTTAACTGGCTAAGTCCTTGTCGTTGTCATTTAACTGGCTCACTCTTTTAAAGGGGTACTTATCGCTGTCACGACGAGGCCAAGGTGGAACCAAGGCGGAAGCGGAGGCGGGGCCGATACGCAGACAAGGACACCCACCCACCACTATCACCGCAAGTCACTGCGGCGGCCCGTCCACTCTTAGCTGTCGTTTCATTCGGTGCTTACACTTGGGACCATCGTCCGCTGGCTAGTGAGATAAGGCTGTTAGTGGAAGCGTCATCTCTGAAGTGTACCCTCAGAGTGCTTCGACGCCTGCTGCGCTAGTGTGACACTCGCGTCCCTGACGGACAGACTCCTCGTTTCGCTTCTAAACGTCAAATCAGCACGGCCAATCGCGAAGTTTGCGCGAAACCGGCGCCACCATGTTTTCGCCGCTGGCCTGCTTCTCTCCGCACAACTTCGCCGGCGATTTTAGTGATTTCGGCGACGATGTAACTTTCGACGAAAGATTTTCGCCAGCAACACCAACTACGCGGACCGTTCCGAAAATCCCCTCCCTCTCGTCCCTGCCGGTCTTCACGCGGCCGCCCACGAGCCCCGCAGCCGCGTGCGTCGCACCCTTCCCCGTCTGCTGCTCGCCCAGCAGCGACTGCGGTTCCCGTAACGACTCCCTGCGACGCCACGTGCGACACATCGAGCGACGAGCCAATGACGCCTCGTGCGACGGTCGGAGTGAAAACGCGTCGCACGAATTGTCGTTCTGGGCATCGGAATGTGCTCAGGCGCCGGGGCGGAACGACGTACGCCCACATCGCGAACTCCCCCCGGCCTCCGTCTTCGTTCCCCCCGTTATAGTGCCATCGCTTACTAGCAACGACGTCGCTCGGCGGTACTTCTCCAACGGTACGGAGTGCCGCCCTGCTCCCTCGGGAAACGTAACCCGCAACAACTCGAAGCGCAAATGTGATGGCGCCGGCGGCGGTGGCGGCGACAGCGCGAACGCGGCGTCAGCGCGACCAGCGGCGGCGCGGGCAAATATGAAAGGCGCGAAGAAGACCGAGGTAGCTGTTGAAACAGTCGGCGCCTCCGCCAAGAGTCACCTGCTCGCACGACCATCGCTGGTCATCCCATTCCCCGCTGGGGAGCCGTTACATTGTAACGGAGCTTTCGACTCAAACAACAACGCGTTAGCGAATTCCGAATTACATGGTCACCACGTGTCGCCGCCACACCGCAACCTCGCGGATAAGCCGCTCCCGTCGCGCAGCCGTGGGAAATCGAGGCCGCGCACAGCGCCGATGGGGATTGCGTGTTGGTTGTGGGACACCGCGACGGGAGTGGCAGGAACGGGCGGAGCGGGAGAAGCGGAAGGAGCGGGAGGCGCGGCAGCCGAAAGCCGGACCGGCAAGCCGTCTGAGGATGCGAATTTGGCGGTGACAGCAACCGGACGCCACGCAGCGCCGGCGTTGGCGATTGACATCCGCGGCGGCGGCAGCAGCAGCGGCGCGTTGGGCGGCGACGGGGATAAAGCAGCGTCGGTACGGACGGCGCTGTACCCATCGGCGCGCAGTGAAGGCGGTGGCGGCGAGCGGAGCGTGCGCGACGTGCTAATCGTGGAAGGGGGAAGGCCGCCCGCGGATGCGGGGCGTGCCCGAGGCGGTGTGTTCCGCAAGAAGCAGCGGCGGGGGAAGGGCAAGCGGAGCGTGTTCGTGTACGAGCTGGTGCGCGCGCCCGCGGGGGGAGGCGGTGGGGATTATGGGGACCGCAGATTGCCGCGCGCGAGAACAGCAGGCGCCGCGGAGAGTGGCAGTGCTGGGTTGTGGGGGACGGACGGCGCGGAAGGAGTGGTGGAGGGAGCAATGGGAAAGGCGCAGGGTTGGCAGCAGCGGTCGCTGGATCGAAGTGACACGCAGAGCGACATTGCTGACGTGGACGAATGGCGATGGGAGATGGAGAAATATCTGACGGAGAAATTAAGGCGAGAATCGGGTCCGAAGGAAATGGGGCGAAAGGAGAAAGAGGTTACGAGAGAGGAAAGGGAAAGTGGCGGCTCGGAAGGGGAGCAGCACGAACGGGAGAACGGTAGCGGCGGCGGCGGAAGTTGGGGGTTGCGAGTCGCTGATGATGACGACTCGTTAGGAGCAAGCGGGCGCGCTTGTAATACGTACGGGGGCTGTGACGAAGGAAACAACAGCTGGCGCGATACAAGCAGCGAAGGGGAGGCAGCGGGGATTGACCAGTGGGACCTGGACGCGGATATCGAGGAGCACCATAGCGAGGATGAAAGCAGCGCTGTGCTGTCCGCCGCCACGAGCGGCGACGGGGGCGATCCGTGGGGCGTTGGGGGCAGCAGTGGCAGCGAGGAGCAGCGAGCGCTGCAGCGGCAGGGGCGAGACAAAGGACTAGTGATAGACTTGGGAGTGGATGGGGAGGAGTTGGGAGTGGTGAGGAGGGACGAGGATTGGTTTGAAGAGGCGGAGGGCGTGTTGCTGGTGGACGAAGGGCGTGTCGTGCCTCGGGAGTCAGACGGTGGCGAGCGCGGCAGAAACGGAGAATGGGGAAGGTCGCGAAGCTGTGTGGAAGCGTCTGTCCGCCAAGCCAGCAGGGCGGCCGTTGCCCGCGCTGCAGCGGACGCGCAGGCAGGCAGGAGAGGCGACGGCAGCGATGGCAGTGGGAGTGACGGCAGCACCGGCCGTGGCAGCGACAGCAGCAGCAGGCACAGGGAAGGTGGGCGGCCCGTGCTGCTGCGGTGCGAGGGCGTGCGGGGGAGCAACCGCGTCCGCGCGTTTGATCCCAGCGAGTACCTGCCTGCGCCCACAGCACCCGCAGCACCTGCAGCACCCGCAGCAGCACCCACAGCACCCACAGCTGCAGGTGGCGTGCCTGCGAGCGAGCACCACTGCGTGAGTGCAGGTGCAGGTGCGAGTTGGAACACACCCACGGCAGCCGGTGCAGCCGCTGTGCCAGAGGGCCGTGAGACTGCAGCGCAGGGAGGTGCGAGGGCGAGGGCACGCCAGGGAGATGACGCGGCGGCGACGTCAGCAGCGGCGGGAAAGAGCCAACACGTGTCGGCATGGTGGCAATTCGGTGGGGCTGATAAGAGCGCTGATAAGAGCGACAGCAGCGGGCAGGCCGGCAGACGGAAGAGCACAGGTGGTGGAGTGAGCAGCGGAGTGCATGGGGGTCGGTCCCGGCCGTTGGGACCCCCACCCACGCCCCAGAGCCCTGACCACGACGCATGCATGGAAAGCCGCACCTCGCACTTGATATCACCACCGGCTCTCCCCTCGCACGCATCAGCAGCGTCATCGTCCCGCCTACTGCCCTCCCCACGCCTCCCGCCCTCCCGGCGCCTCCCGCCGTCCCCCGGCCTGAGGAGGCAGCAATCCGCTGCGGCTTCGCTTGCTGCGGTGGAGGCGAGTCAACGGCAGCGTGAGAGGCAGGCTGATTTGACTGCACGAGCAGGCAAGCAGAGCAGGGGAGCGCGGGAGGAGTGCGGGCGAGCGGCGGTGGTTTTCCACAAGAGCAGCAGCACTGGCAGCAGTGGGGGGGGAGGAGGTGTCAGTGGCACCGGCAGTGGCACCAGCACTGGCAGCAGCCAGGACACATCGAGCAGTAACTACAGCAAGAACAGCACCCAATGCCGCACCTCGCCCTCCTCATCCACCTCTCGTCCCTCTCCCCCACTCCCTTGGTCACCCCCTCCCACGTCCCTCGTCCCTCTCCCATCACCCCCGTCCGTAGTCCCTCGCCCCTTGCTCTCCCTCTCTTTCTCAGCTTCGGTTTCAGCTTCGGCCAAGCCTAGGCCTCTGAGCCGTGCCAACTCTGCCGCCCCAGCGCTCCTGCACCCACAGCCCATCTTGCTGGCTGGTGGGAAGCGATTCAGCACCCGCTGCCCTGCCGCTGCGGCTGCTGCTGCCGCCGCCGCTGCAGTTGTTGCAAACGGCGGTGGTGCTAATGCTGCTGTTGCTGCAACGGCTGCCAATGGTGCTGGTGCTGTTGCTGCTGCCAATAGCGGTGGTGGTGGTGGTGGTGCTGCTGCTGCTGCTGCTGCTGCGACTGGGAAAGCAAGAGCAGGGAGAGCAGCAGAGGCAGCAGGGATAGCAGGAGGGAAGGGAGCAGTGGGCCTCAAAGCGAGCGCTGTGGTTTACCACCCGCCCTTCAGCAGCTATCGTCACCAGGCTGACGTGGCAGCCCAGGAGGAGGAAGCGAGTCTGAGGGAGCTGGAGCAGCAGCTGGAGAGAGAGAGGAGGAGGAGGGAGGAGGAGGAGGAGGAAGACTTGTTGGCAGAGGCTGGTGAGAGGGGAGTGAGGGAGGTAAGAGTGAGGGAGGGCGAGTGGGAGGAGGGAGGTGCTTGGATGGTGAAGATGCCCGGAAGGGGGGAGTCAAGGAGGCTGGAGGAGCTTTGTGAGACGGTTGGGATGGGTGCTGGTGGGGTGGGGATGGGATTGGATGGGGTGGAGATGTGCTTGGAGTTGGAAAGAGGGGTGGTGAGCATTGGGCCTAGTGTGGGAGGTAGAGGAGGGATGGGAAGGAGCTTGAGCATGGGAAGGCGGTTGCTGGGGTTGAGTCCAAATGCGAAGCCGGATGCGAGAGGGAGAGAGAGGGTGGGGGCAATGCAAGGAGCGAGAGAGCATGCTGTCATATCACCAGCGCTTGTACCTCCTCCCATGCGACGATCCTGCACAGACACACGGCAGGAGAGGCGGGCGAGGGAGCAGCTGGAGAAGATGGGTGCGTGTGTGAAACAAGATGTGGGAATGGAAGCAGCAGCGGCGCCACCCATGCGACGGTCCCGCACTGACACAAGGCAGGAGAGGCAGGCAAGGGAGCAGCAGGAGCAGAGGGAGCAGTTGGAGCAGATGGGTGTTTGTGTCAAACAGGATGTTGGATTGGTTCTCGTGCCACCTCCCATGCAACGGTCACGGACTGAAACGCGGCAGGAGAGGGGGATGAGGGCAGGGCAGCAGGCAATGACACCAGCAGTGAGGGGAGGTGGCAGAAGAAGCGAAGGGTGCAGCAGAGGGGAAGCAGGCAGCGGGCGGGTGTTGCGGCGAGGCAGCACACAGCCGAGCCGGCGCTTGGAGCAACAGGAGGGGGTGTCTCGGCGCAGAGAGGGGGACCTGCTCATCCGCACGCATGCTCTGTGAGTCCCGTGGGTGGGGCGGGGGAAGGTGAGGAGAGGGGTGGTTGTGATTGTGTCTCCTGGCAAGTTGCTGAAGCCTGTGTGGCAGGAGGTGTGCGCTTTGCTGTTGATGTCGTCTCATCCCTTCTTCACTGCGAACTCTTTTTGTCTGTCCCTTGCACTGCTGCTGCTGCTGCTGCTGCTGTGTTTGTGCAGAGGGCAAGACGCGGAGATTCTGGTGCTAGACAACTGACCGTGGCGGTGGGCACAACACAACGGCAGAACATGTGATAACAACTGATAAGGATGATGATGGCAACGCTGATCACAAACTGACAATGATGGCACTGCCATCCTGGGTTGCGTATGGGGCAAACCTCTTGCCACACGGCTTGGCAATGTTCAGTGGGCTGCTTGCAAGAAAGTATTCTGGCATTCCATTGCAGACTCGCGGCTCCCCGCTCCTGTCCCTCAATCAACGCCGTAGCGTTTCTGTCCAGTGACCACCCACGGCTGTGGTGAAGGAAAGTGGCTCATACCGTATACCGTACCACGTGTTACATGTGCGAGCGAGTGAAGATTGCACTAAGGAAGCAAAAACAAGTACAACGTGTATTCAAAGGCATGAGAAAATACAGCAAATGGTAACGCGGTGCGGCCGAGCTAGCTTTTGTGCAATGCTGGAAGCGAGGTCTTTTGAAGTGTAGGTTGACTCCACGGAGTGCAGCAGTGCGTGGTTTGGCGAAAGTGATGCGGGAGAAGGTGGCCAACCACCGTTACCAGTAATGGGCTAAGTACGGTTGGTCTTGTACTCGATGATGATGTGTTCAGTATCGATACCGGTATAGGAAATTTCATTACATTATGAAATAGTGGTGGTTGGAAAATGCATTGTGGTACTAGGAATTTTAAGGCAAGAAAAGTGGAGTGCTCTGTAGCACTAGAAAATATGAGAAGATAATAACTAAGGATTCTGGAAGTATTATCCAAAGTGCTTATTTATCGTGTGTAACATTGTGGGAATGTCTATCAATCTACCACCCAGTAAAGTACTGTAACTTGAACATAGCAGGAAACTATTGGACCGTTTTGAGTCGCACATATAGGACTCTTGCTAGGTCACTTACTATGTTATGAGTTGTAAAAGAGAGTGCGCAGGTAAAACGAATAACGAAGCTGTGACTCAATCAACTGCGAATACAATGAATGCCCAAACTAATATAGAACTACGCTAGCTAGGAGAGAACCTCGGGCAAACGAGGTTGGGTGCAGGTTTGGCGATGAGAAAGCCGAAGGCGACGCGAGGAGCCTCGGCAGCGTTGAAATCGGCCGAACGTGCGAACTCCGAAAATCGGGTTGTACGCGAAGCAGTCAACCCCGATAAGGAATTCGGGAAAATTCCTTACACCACCCCCCCCCCCTCAAGAAAGGTAGTCAATAGCCGAGACACGACGTCGCGCCAAATAATCAGCAACAAGCGTCGAGGCGTCCAGTGAAGCGGATGGTACCCACGTGTCGTCCTCACTTGTGCGATCCGTCCAGCGAATCAAGAAATCCACGTGGCGACCAGCGGCGTCAAGGCGGACCCTATGAGCGAGGATCTTCGAAGGGTCAAAGGTCGGCTCCGGGACAGGGCGAGTGGTCGGAACCGCTTGCTGACGTGCGATGTCTGTCGTGGCCGGCACGAACTTCCGAAGAAGGTTGACGTGGAATGCGTCGTGGATATGCCAGTCGTCGGGGAGCAACAGCTTCGCCGTGACAGGTGTCACCATCTTGATAATTTTAAACGGTCCGCAAAAACGTGGCCGAAGTTTCGCAGGGCCGGGCAGGTTCAGGTTCTTTGTGTCGAGAAGGACTAGCTGCCCAGCTGTCAAGATGAGCTCCCGTCGTAGAAGGTTGGTGTATTTGCGGGACGTAATATTCGCCTTGCGAATTGCATCGGCGGCTTTTTCTCGGACTTCCTGAAGTTCCGTCACGAAAGTCTGGGAACGGGGAACCGGGTTGGTGAGTGTAGTCGTCGTTGGAACAGCCGGGTCCATCCCGTAATTGAGGAAAAATGGCGAGTGATTAGTCGTGCTGGATGGTGCGTTGTTAAAAGCGAATTCCAGCATGGCGAGCGAGTCTTCCCAGCGGGCAGGGTCGGGGCAGTTGGTGCGAATTAACTGCTCCATGGTCTGGTTGGTCCGCTCGGTTTGACCGTCGGTCTGCGGGTGGTAGGCCGATGAGAACTGTAGCTTCGTGCCGTATTGTGCCCACGTTTCCTTCCAGAACTTGGACGTGAATTTGGGGTCGCGGTCGCTGATGATCGCCGAAGGGATGCCGTGCAGTCGCACGACCGTCGAGATGAAAAGTCGCGCAGTTTCTTCGGCTGTGATTGTTGTGCGGCATGGTGCGAAGTGCGCCATTTTCGTGAAGCGGTCGACAACGACGAGAACAGCGTCGTTGCCCGTCGGCCCAGCTGGCATCCCCGTGACAAAATCCATTGTCACTTGTTGCCACGGTCGTTCGAGTGGCTCGAGGGGTTGCAGAAGTCCAGCTGGTCGCTGACGTGTCGACTTCATTGCTTGGCACACCCTGCATGAGGACACATAGCGCTGCACGTCGTTAGAGGAATCAGGCCAGTAATATTGACGGTGCAGTATCTTCTGGGTTTTATCAACCCCGAAATGTCCGGAGAGGTTGGAATCGTGTATCTCTTGGATGAGGAGCTCACGCAGCAGTCGGTAAGCGGGAACCCAAATCCGGTCGGTTCCGGCTTTTAGGTAATAGTCCCCTTTCTGCGTTGTGGCCTGCTGGTGATTTCCTGTTGTGAAGAAGGGATCTGTCGTGTAGCCATGGGTGAATAGTCCGGTAAGTAGCGGGTTCGAGTGGGTGATGAGTACTGCAGCGGATTGTACTGTCGGTCGGGTCAGGGCGTCGGCGATGTTATTTGCCCCTTTTTTATACGTGATGCGGTAGGTGAAATGGCTCTCCATGTAGTCGAGCCATCGGGTCTGTCGTGGGTTGAGGTTGGGTTGGGCTCGCAGGTACTGTAGGGATTTGTGGTCCGTGCGAACAGTGACGTCGGCGCCCACCAGGTAGCATCGCCACAGTTTAAATGCATGTATGATGGCGAGCATCTCCTTGTCGTGGATCGGGTAGTTGCGTTCAGCTGCCTGCAGCTTGCGTGATTCGTACGCTATCGGCTGCAACCCGTTCCCGAAATCCTGGAGGAGCACAGCCCCGATGGCGAAATCTGAGGCGTCGGTCACGACTTCGAACGGCTTCGATGGATCGGCGATGCGCAGCACAGGAGGGGAAACGAGAAAATGTTTGAGTTCCTGGAAAGCCGCCTCTGCGTCCTCCCCCCACACAAAATTCTTGTCCTTGTGCAGCTGGTCGGTCAGTGGCCCGGTTATCCCCGCCATATTCGGGATAAACCTCCGGACGTAATTAACGAATCCGAGGAAACTCTGGAGTTCCGTGACGTTCGTCGGGGACTTCCACTCCTGTATGGTCTTGATTTTCGCCGGGTCGATTTTAATGCCGTCGCGCGATATGACGTGCCCCAAAAACTCCAACTCTTGCTTAAAAAAATCGCACTTAGAGCCTTTGGTGATGAGTCGGTTTTCCTGCAGCCGCTTAAACACTGCGTCCAGGTCACTGAGGTGCTGCTCCCTGGTTTTGCTGTAAAATGAGGATATCGTCCAAGTAGACGATGACGCACCGGTCTAGAAGATCCCGAAACACCCTGTTCATGGTCAGCTGAAAAGTCGAGGGCGCGTTCGTGAGGCCAAAAGGCATCACCGTGAATTCGTAACTCCCGTAGCGTGTGCGAAACGCCGTCTTGTGACAATCGTCAGCGAAGACGCGAATTTGATGGTAACCGCCGCGTAAGTCAATCTTCGAGAAGTAGCGAGCGCCACGAAGTTGGTCGAGGAGGTCGTCGGTACGTGGGATTGGGTAGCGAGACTTGATGGTGACCCTGTTCAGCGCGCGATAGTTGATGCACATGCGAAGTCCGCCGTCTTTCTTCGGGGTGAACAGGATTGGTGTTGCGAAGGGCGAGGTGCTGGCCCGAATGAATCCTTTCTCCAACAGTGCATCGATTTGTCGGCGCAGCTCCTCGAGTTCCGGCTGGGTCAACCGCCACTGTGTTCGAACGGTTGGTTGCGCTCCAGGTTCCAGCTGGATTTTGTGGTCCTCAGGTCTCTCCGGTGGCAGTCCAGGTGGCAGGTCGTCGGGGAAGATTTCCGGGTACCTCCGAATCAGCTCCGCTAAATCCGGAGGTACAGCTGCACACAGCTTCTCGATGTCCTTTCCTTCGGTGTCGACTGCCAACTCACGTAAACAAACAGCGAACAGCTGCGCGCCTCTGTTGAAGTGGCGGGCTATCGTGATGGCTTTGACGCACGGGGCTTGGATGTAGTCAGGTGTCCATGCAGGAAGCGTAATTAGCCCCTCGTGCTTGCTGACGCTGCACGTTCCCGTTGTCCAGTCGATGACGGGGTTGTGCCGTCGCAGCCAATCGCGTCCCAGCAGTACATCGCAGCCATCCAACGTTGTCGCGAGAAACTTCATGCTGAAGCCAAAATCGTCGCCGCATTCGATCCTGACCGTCCGTGTTTCTTCCGTTATCGCCAGAGGCGTCCCATCCACGAGGCGAGCGTCGATTTCGGGCAGACACCTGTCAAGTTGCAGCTTGCATTTTTTTGCGCTCGCCAAATTGAAGAGGCTATGACTGGCCCCTCCATCGACGAACATTTTCAAGTTATGTTTTAACACCTTGCCAGCGACCAGCACAGGGTGATCCACATGATTATCCCCGTTATTCGGCCGAGTGCGATCGATTGCATGAATCGGAACCACGACTCGGTGGGGATGGTGGGGTTCGGGCGACGGAGCACAGTCAGTAAAGGACCCGCTAATTACTGACTCTTCCCATTTCCCTGCTCCTTCCTGTCGTTCCCCGTCAGCGGCGTTTTCTCGTGGCAATCTTTCATGTAGTGACCCGTCTTCCCACACCGGAAACACGGTCCCTTAGGAGGGCGGTCGGGTGTATGGACGGCGTTGATCGTGGTCCGATGGGTCTGGCCACGAAAACGGTTTCCCTCCCGGGAAGCTGCTCTCGTGTACTGCATCAGCGCATCTGTGGACTCCGCCAATTGTACAGCTGCAAGAAATGTCGTCGGACGGCTCCTGCGAACCTCGTACTGTATCTCGTATTTGAGGCCGCTGATGTACTTATCCAGCCGTTCAGCTTCCGACATGTCATCAACCTGGTCGGCGAGGCTCATAAATGACGCCGTGTA